GAGCTCAAACTGGGAGAAAAAAGAACCAGACCATCATCTAAAACCAAGACACACACATGAACAAAAGAGAGGATCCAACAGGCAATTAGGAGTCCACAGCAGGAAGGAAGCTCCTGGGCGGAAACGGCCTAATCTTCAAATTTTCCAACCAGCTTTCAGCAACCTGTTTATCAACTTTCTGGGCAGCAGATAACCATTGAGCAATATCAGATCCAATTCAGAAAGCAATCACCCGAGAGGGTGATTCGATATCGCGAAATACTCGGGAGTTCCTCTCAAGCCAGAGAATCCAGCAGAAAGCATGGAGGAAGACCCTTGTGCACCATTGACTCGGATCATCTGGCTTTTGTGTATTCCAGAGCTTGATTCTCTCCATGATGGTTCTGGATCTGCTACATCTCCTATCGATTTTGACAAAAAGCTGCAAGGATGCTCCACGCCTCCAGCGAGGTCTTGCACTTAACAAAGATGTGGTCAATGGATTCCTCATCCTCCATGCAAAGAGAACACCTGTTTGGCAGGCAGAATCCTCTCCTCTTAAGATTATCCAACGTTAAGATCCTCATGTGGAACACCATCCAGAGAACGATGCAAACTTTAGACGGGATCAGGTGCTGCAAGATCATCATGGCTGGGGAGTCATCTGTTCCTAGAAATTTATTTTTCAGAAAGTGATTGTAGGCAGAGTGCACACTACAGTCGCCGGACAAAGAGGGATGCCAAACTAATCTTTCCGGACCTGCAACAAGCTTAGAGACATGAATGTTTCCAAAACAGAAAAAAGCCTCTCTCTCTCTCTCTCCCTATCGCCCCACCCCTGAGATTGAAAGATAGAGGAATATCCCACAAAATAGACTCACCATTAAAGGAGAAGCAGTCAACAACGCGAGAATTCCTGGATTCCGCAGCAGCACACAACCTCGGGAAATCATCTGCAAGTCGAGTCCCTTTGATCCAAACGTCAAACCAGAAAGAAGTCCAGTATCCGCGCCCTTGATCCACATGAGCCAAAGTCCAAAACTTGTCCCTAAGTTTCGAAATCTGGGACCAGGAGCTACAACCCATACTCTCGAGAACACCACCTGAACTCCATTCAGAAACCGAGGGGGAAAACTTGAAAGTAATCAACTCTCGCCACCAAGTTTGCCTCTCATTAGCGAATCTCCATAACCATTTAATAATAAAAGCATGATTGTGAAGCAGCATGTCTCGAATTCCCAACCATGCGTGATCCTTGGCTGTTTTACAAAGATCCCAGGAAACCAGATGGAACTTTCCTTTATCATGGGGTCCTGGCCAGAGGAAATCCCTTTGTATCTTCTCAAGCTCTTTCACAACTCCAACGGGGATGAGGAAGAGTGAGCTAACATAGTTGCTTTGGCTCGTAAGAATCGCATTGATCAATACAATCCTGCCACCAATAGAGAGAAAGTTACCTTTCCAAGACTCCAATCTTGATCTAGTTTTGGATATCACACCATTCCAGATTGAGGGATAGGTTGGATAAGCTCCCAAGGGGAGCCCCAAGTAAGTCGACGGGAGGAATTTCCACCTGCAGCCAAGAATCTCGGCGAATCTCTCGATATTGTGCACTTCCCCAACTGGAAACAAACAAGTCTTGTCCAGATTGACTTTAAGACCAGTTATGCTTAGCAAGCAAGGGCAGCCATCACATTCATCACTTCATACTCGCAGGCTTCACAGAAGATGATGGCATCATCAGCGTAGAGAAGGTGCGTCACTTCTCCACGCCTTCCAGCTTCGTCAATGAAAAAACCCGACAGGAGGCCAGCTTCGCTAACTTTGCACAACACAAAGGATAATAGGTCCATCCCAAGGTTGAATAGGAAGGGGGACAATGGATCCCCTTGCTTAATACCTCTCTCCATCCCGAAAAAACCCACAGCCTCTCCATTGAATAAAATCGAAAGTTTCGTAGAAGATATAATACCTTTAATCCATTTCAGAAATTTGTGGTGGAGTCCCATACTCGCCAGAGCCTTAAAAATGCAATTCCAGTTGATCGAATCAAATGCTTTTTCAATGTCCATCTTTATGACAAGCCCAGGTCTTCCACTTCTTTTTCGGCTATCAATGACCTCATTGGCAATGAGGCTGGATTCATGGATTAGTCTACCCTTCTTCCCCCCGAACTGTTGTTTAGAGATCATATTATTCATGAAGGGTTGCAGGCGACAGAACATCATCTTGGAGACGATCTTGTTGAGGCTGCCAGGAGACTAATCGGCCTAAAATAAGAAATTTCTTCCACTGCTTCCTTTTTCGGGATTAAGCAAAGGAAGGAGTGCGCAATAGAGTCCGGAAAAGATCTTGAAAGATAGAAACCGTCAATGGCTTTCTCCGAGTCTTTTTTAATCGTGCTCCAACCTCTTTTGAAAAACTCAAGAGTAAATCCATCATGTCTAGAGGCTTTGTCGCCGTTACAAAGGCAGATAGCATTTCGAATCTCGTTCTGTGAGAAGGGTTTCACCAGGGTCTCATTGACATCCATAAAAAACGAGAAGGTCCTATAGTCAGCAGGAAAAGGCTTGTTGATCTCTTCCTCTGTAAATTTAAGAACAAAAGCATTCTCAATGCCCACTTTGATTTTATTAGCCTGATCTATCAGTTCGCCATCCACCCTGAGTCTCCTAATGAATTTCCTTCTATGGTTATGAAATGTTCATTCTATGGAAGAAGGAAGTATTCTTGTCCCCCGTTCTAAGCCAAAATTCTCGGGATCTTTGGTGCCAGGAAATCTCTTCCAATAACAGAACCTTTTCCAACTCGCACTTCAACAGGGCTCGCTCACGTAATAAAGATTCATTAATCCTTCCAGACTCTTCAACCCCGTCAATTGTCTTGGAAGAAGCTCTGAAATCTTCTTTTCCACTTTCCCAAAGCAATCCTGATTCCATTTCTTGATTAACAGCTTGGTCTGCCTACATTTTTGCCCAAATCTGAACAAACGACTAGTGCCGTTAACGCGAACGATCCACCAGCCCACCAAACTCGGAATGAAAGATTCCTCCTCCAGCCACATGTTCTCGAACCTCCAAGGATGATTGATCCGGACCTTTCTGCCCCATTGTAGAAGAATAGGATTATGATCAGATTCCACTCTATCAAGGGCAAGCAGCAACTCTGGTGAAAAGGCTGCCTCGAAATTGGCATTGATGATTGCACGATCAATGCGAGAAAGGGAGATACCAGATCCCCCTTTACACCAAGTGAAAGGACTCTCTTGAAGCGGCAAATCCACAAGATTAAAACTACTAATGAAGTTCTTGAAATCAGCCATCAGATCGAGATCCCTAGGACAACCAATGAAGTCATCCTGCGTTCTAACCAGATTAAAATCGCCAATGATGCATAGAGATGCCGGGTAATTATGACATACGAATTCGAGCTCCTTAATGAAATCAAGTTTATCATCTTTTCCTTGGGGGCCGTACACCAACAGGAAGGAAATAGTTTCTTCAGTGTCGAGAATCTTTAATCTAACTGCCAGGGAATACTTACCATTCCAGACTGAGAGAGCTTTATACATCTTCACATCCCAGAATATTGCGATGCCCCCACTTGCCCTAACAGAGTTCTTGGCAACCCAGTCAACAACCCTATTTCCCGAAACAGAGAAAATCAGCCTTTGATCGCAATTTTCCATTTCGTCTTCGTTAAGCCAACAATTGAGGGTTTCCATCTTCCGAGGATCCTCTTAACTTTTGCTCTTTTTTCGGGGTTCCCGAGACCCCTCACATTCCAAGCGACGAAAGAGTGAATCATTGATCAACTTCGCCAATGGCAGAACTACTTCCTCTAGAGCTATAGCTCTCACGAGAATTACGCTGGTTATCAGCCTCATTAGACCGATTTGATCAAAGCCAGAGATTGTAAGAGGTAATTAGGGTTTGGTATTTGATATCTTTGAATTATTCAATTTTATCAATTATAGCTAACTATGTATGATTGAAATTGCACATAAATCTCTTGGTTGGATTAGGAAGAGCTGGAAAAAAAATTTCATGTACAACCAAGATAAATGTTCAACACAGCTTCTTTTATATTGACTGCAATTTTAAACTCCCATGTTGTACCATTTCCATTTTAAGTCTTAGTGTAGCCGAACTTAGAGGATAACGATACTATCATCTATATGGTTGGCCCATCTCAGTCTCAGCCTTGACCTTGTAGCTTTGTCCCGGTCATGGCAGAGTTCAGAAGATGACTGAAAAAACAAACAAAAAAGCCCTGCTAGAGGAAGGATTTCAATGGGATACTTATCCACGATGTAAGTACACTATTTATCTCTTGGAATAATAGGGGTTGGGTTAACTTTAACAACCCTCATAGTCATAGATTTTTGTAAGAAGGTAGCTTTGTCCTGTTTTTGGTTGCAGATTGGCAGGTTCCAATGAATTATTCAGTTGCTGAGTTGGGTTCGGTTGTTTAGATCATATAATGGTGTCATGTTGTATTCCAAGTCTGAGAGTGGAACTTTGCATCAACCATTCCCGTTCTTCCATAAATCAAGCATCCTAATTATTAAAATACATAATATAGTATAGATAGCTTGCTTGGTCCACTAAGGCAGGGGCCTAGAAGAGGACACTACAATCTACGAACTGGTTGAGAAGCTGATAGCTTCGAACGCCTCCAACTATGGAAACTTAATAAAATAACTCTGCACTAAATACATGCAGTTTTTTCTACCAGAAGCTTTAGATTAAAAAAACAAGACAACTTATTTGTTCAATAGGGATGTAAAGACTCAACACTCCATGTTAAGACAGGACATATGAAGCTATATAATGGGTCTTGCAGAAGGCCTTTCTAGGGGAAGTTGACCCCTACTGGGTGTCTAAACTGGCAGGTGTGTTGCCGGTGTATGTACTAGACTTCCACTTGAGCCTCCTCTATTGTTCATCTTTTTCTTTGGAATCACATATATCTTATTGGGTTGTTTGTGTTTGTATTGGATATAGAGGAGCTTGCTCGCAATGCTGCTTACACTGGCACTCCCAAAAAGGGAATTCTCTTTATTAACTAGTCCTCTAGCACCTGGAAAGCGTCTCTCCAACATCAACGTCGAGAATATTGAGGAAAATAGGCATGCTCTCCTTAATCTCATCTTCACCCCTTGGTGCCCCCACTACCTCAGTGGAGTGATCCTCTTCGAGGAGACCCTCGAACATAAGAACAGTCAGGCATATAAGATGTGCCTAGCTTGAAATTTGTTGCTCTGGTTGATATAGAATTTATGGATTGTTTGTCTGCTTTTTTCTGTATGTTGAATTGTAATGTTTCTGTTGTGTCGTATTGTTTTTAGGGAAGCCCTACATTGTCATATTGTTTGGTGTTTCGTTTCGATACTCTTGTCTATGATAGAATATTTTGAAACTTCTTTGCAAGTTCTATGAGGTTTTGATATAGAAATAACAACGCCAATCTCTCGTGCATGTGAATTGCAGAGATATGTGACATCATCATGCAGACTAAACACAAAGCGATTTTTAGATGTCACATAAGGTGATTTTTTATTCTGTTGTTGGTAGACTAACTAAGAATATTGATTTCAACAACTTGCTTATCTCCAAAAATTATATGTTTAATTTGCTCCACTGTCCTATGTCATTGTGCTAGTTATGAAAGATGAAGAATGGAGATGTTACTGTTGTTTGTGGTTCATGAACCTCGACCAAGGTACATATATTTGTAACATTATGTTTACAGCTTTTGTCTTATTCATGTTTGAAGTTACTTGCAGGCTGTATAAGACAGGACTAAACAAGTGTCATAGACGGTTCAGACCGAGGCTTGTTTCAGTATAACAGTTATACGTCACATCTTTGCTTAAGAGGTCGAAGACATGATTTTGGGATGCAGAAGTATGATATGCTTGTTACTTATTTTTGTAACAGAGAATGCTTGGTTTTATAGAAAGTTGGTTTGCTCGTAAAGATTGTAAATTTGCCCATCTTATAAGGGTATACATGATTTTGATTTCACGTTGGGTTTGCTATCATTAACTATACTGGTTTTGATGTTCGCAGTTGAGTTTGGTTCTCATTGTGGAGTTTGTACTCTATCAGAACTTTTTTTGATTTCTCACTATCTCATCGTTTTTCTAGGTTATGCTACATTGAAGTACGGGGGTTCACTGCAACAGATACCATGGATAGTATGTTTATTCTTCTTAGTTTATTTCTCACTCTGATTTTGATCTTTTCAATGGTTTTTGTATTGCAGTCTCAATTCATTTCTCTTTGTGTTCTATGTTTTGGTGGTTCTTTTTTCTTACCTTGAATTCAGCTAGTAGCGGTGATGGAAATTCTATTTGTTTTGGTTGTCCTTGTAACAGGTTAAGATGCGGTATGCAGTACATAACGTGGGTGATTCAGAGGAAAGCATAGTTAATTATGGATCCTGATAGAACTATATGTGAGATTATTCCTTTTCTAGTAATTGTTGGTTGTTGAGTTTGAAACAAGTGAGATTATGTTAGTTCGAATGTGCTTATAGGTGCAATTATGTGGTATTGATACTGGTGATTCACTTTTGAAAATAAAAATTGGAATGTGACAGCATGTCAAAGCTTCTGCAAAATTCTGGAATTTGTATACTTAGCTATGCTTTTCTAGAACCATCGCTAAAATAGTTTTCCAGGGGCTTCAGAGGGCTGGTTAATGTTGAATCAAAATGGCCAATGGCAGGGTTTGTGCCCGTAGCACAACCGCTCTAGGACTTCCACAAGGGGTTGTTTCAACCGCTGGGAAAGATTTGCAACGGTGGCCGTAGCAGCGGTTTGGCAGGGGTTTTGGTAACCGCTGGCGGAACTGTTAGCGAGGGGTTTTCCCGTTGCTAAAAGCCAAAATAACCCCTGATGTAGGTGAGTTATTTTGTAGTGGAAGTGAATGAGCTCGGGTGTTTTTTCACGTGGGCTTGGTTGTCTCTAAATATTCACTAGTTTCATGTCCGACCCGTTGGTTGGAATGTCATTTGAATATGTAGTATTTACAATATAAAATGTTAAAATTGAATTAAATAATAAAAATATAAAAATTAAAATATCAACCATCAAAGAATATTTACGGAAGAGTTAGTGGGCTAGTTAACTGTAACGAAAAATATATTTTTAAGATTTTAGGTTTCTATATATTCTTACTTTAAAAAGATGTATCAAATTTGTTTAGTCTAATTTGTAATGATTCATGTTCTTGTTTAGTGGCCAAATTTAACCGGATTGGACCGCCCGATATTTTGTCCCCCATTAGGACTGGAAACCAAACCAAATCGTGTGCAATCTGATTTCCACTTTCAACCAAACAAGCTTATACGGTTCAGTTTCCAATTTGTCCGAAAAGCCGAGACCATATTACCAACCCACAACACACTCATCCATCTCAATCCTGTTGGTTGCGTCGAGCGCGAGACTTTATACCCCTGTCTTAATCACAAAATCACACTTTAAAGACAATTGTTAGTACTAAAGAAATTCCCAAACAGATATAAACCAAAGTCTAACTATTCTTATCAATCTTTTGTATTTCACACGTTAGGCCCTAGCTGAACTGGATTTAAGGACCGCCCACTTATAATGGCTGGCTAACTCTCGACTGGGCTTCCAAGCCCAATAGCCAGATTTAGCAGACGGACAGAGCAGCCCGAAGCCACAGCCCAAGTCGCTTCCTGTCTCCACCCTGCTACTAGGAACCGTTTCAAAACGACAGAGTATAACTTAAAACCAATACTTTCTTCCCGCTCCAGAAATTGTCGATCAAAAAGGAACCTGCTTCCTTTTGAATAAAGAACAGAACTAGAACAGCAAGAACAGAGAACAGAACCCAGCAGTTCTACCCAGAAAATAAAATAAAATCGAATTAACCAAACCAGGAAATGAAAACTGATGAATAACACTTCTGCCTGGACTTCCTTTCTTCTCCGTTCTGATCGAGATCCCTGCAATCACACCCTGCACAGAAACACAGACAGAGCATACACAGAACACACACAGAGAAACAGAATGAAAGAACAGCACGCGATTTTTACGTGGTTTCCAGTATTGGGAGAATGAGGATCCCAATACTGACTACTCCACGGTCAGAGAATCACGATCTTGTGATCTCCGACGATTCACTATGATTTTGCGTTGAAGTTCGTCGTTACAAACTAACTACCCAAGAACCCTTTGAACAATCTTAACCCGATTGAACAAACACACTCTTCACAAACCCGAATTGCTTCCCCAGCAACTCGAAACCAGTGTTTCCCCAACACTGACCCTCAAAGCAATTCTCCCCGAACCCTTTGAGAAACCCCTTTCCTATCAATCTAGCTTTTCTCACAAAATCCCCTTTTGTCTTAGCTAGCTTTTTGATCTCTTGAAAGGTTGCCTTTGTTCTTCCTTCAAATCGCCTTTTATAGGCTGTAATGTAGCTGTTGAGAATTTGAATTCCCTTGAAATCTTCAAGCAAGGCAAGTTCTTATTCTTTCTTCTTTTGACCCGAAAACTTGCCTTAACTGTTTTTGGGCAGCCACTGATTTTTCACCTTGATTTGATTCTTGTCTTGGCCATCAAGAAGTTCTGCCATTGTCAAGTTGATGCCAACAAATCCTTCGGAATAAAACCCAAGAAAAAGGAACATGAGCAAAGCTCTCCTTACCAATCTCAGTGACATTGATGAAAAAGCAGAAAATATGAAGTATCGAAATGGAAGTTTTTGGACTTGACCGACCTCGAGTTGGTTATCGACGAGGGCAAATCTGTTGACTAAGGGAGGGTGCTTAGTCACTTGACTAAACCCCTCTCAGCCTTTAAATCTGGACACACCAATCTGAAGGTTAAAAAGTGGGAAGAACTTTTTAATTAATGGCAGGGGTAGTTTGAGTATTATGAAAATTTATGAAGTATACAAACCGGACTTACAAACAGTACAAACCATACAAAAATACAAAAAATACAAACTAGAACGACAAAACATACAAACAGATTTACAAACAATACGAAACATACGAACTATACAAACAATACAAACTAGACCGACAAACATTACAAAACATACAAACAGTACAAAATGCCACTACTTACAATCAGGGGCGGAGGAAGAAGGGTAGAGGGTGCGTCCCGAGACCCACACTAACTCGGGAGGAAATATGGCAAACTAGGTATAATAGTTAATCGGGTATGAAAATATTACACATATCTAAATAAGAATGATTGACCTTTCAAATATTTTATGTATGATTTATAAGTTGTGTATCGTTATATTTAATGTTTTAACGAGTTATGTACAAATGAAAATGGTGCATATGATCCTCCCAAAATTAAAGATGTATTTGTTCAATATTTCAAAAAAATTTCCACCAAATCATAGCTAATTTATAAAAATAATTTTATTTCAATCAGGGGTAGGGAGAGTGTAACGGGTGGCTTCTAATGACAAAAATGAGTAAAATAGTATAATAAAATTGATTGAGAATGAAATTTAAGTCACTTTTAATTGAGAATGGTTGATCGAGAGATCATGTGTTCGAATCTTGGTGATCCTATTTGTTAAGGACATAATATTGGATTTGTGAAAAAATTTAAGCACGCATAAGTTGGTTTTCATTAGCGGGAAAGTGTTAGTAAATACTAAATAGTATTAATTCATTATTAAATCTTTTGCAACAACTCGAGTTATTGGTACTAAACGGTCTTGACGAAGAACACCATTCAAAAGCAAATGTCTAATTGAATCATTAATAATTGATTGATACATATATAGTGATATTATTGATAGTTTTGACATATATTTAGTTTACCAAGTTTTTATAGATATAAAATTATATCATGAATTATTTAAAATGACAAAATTATTTTATCATTTTTTTAATGGACCCACTCTCGACAAAATCCTGGCTACGTCCCTACTTACAATACAAAACGGTAAACTTGTATTAAAAATCAATGAATGCAAAGGGCTAAATTACACGTTTGGTCACTCAAATTATATAAATTTTTCACGTTTGCCACCCAAACTACTTTTCTTTCTTATTTGCCACTAACTTTACGAATCGTTTCACGTTTGATCACTGACCGTCTGTCTCCGTCAAACTCCGTTAACACCGTCATATTTTTGATGATGTGGCAAATGGAACTGCTGACTGGATTGTATCTTATTTAAAAAATAATAATAAAACATATAATAATTTACAGGTGGATTGGACTGGCCGCAACATCATCTTTTTCGCCCTTTCCTACACCGACAGGTTTCAAGGTCTTCAGCGGCTTTTCGAATTCCCAGCTTGAAAGGCTTAAAAGTGTCCCTCACAAATTGGATTGAATTGAAAAAAGGCTCCCCAACTCGTTAGCTTCTCCCAATCTGCTTACTAAATCTTCATTCCTCAGAAACTCGAAATTCCAACGCCAAGCCACAAGACAACAGATAAACCAACAGAGTTCCATGCAATCAATCCACAACCTCGGCGGTTGCTGTGGCTTTCTGCTCGAGACGCTGAAGGAGATTGGGGGAGGGGAAAAAAGATGACGGCGTTGGCTTCGGGTTTCTTCGAGAGACAAGAGGCGGATCTGGATGGAGGGAGAAGAAGAAGACGACAACGACAGTGAAGCTGTGGATTTTTTCGCTAGATGGTTGGAGGATCTAGAGGGAATGAAGAACGAGTGTGGAGAACGAGCCCGAACACCGCTATTTTTGTCAATAACTCTCGTCCCCCGTCGTTGGCGATTGCTGCTATTGTCCATGGAGGAAGGGGATTGGGTCGTTGGTTGCCTGCCTCCGGGTGAATGCTACAGATCGATGGAGGGAGGGTCGGAATTCTTCTTCTGGGTGGGGGATTCTTCGCCTGCCTACGGTGGATTTTTTCTAGGTTAGGGATTCTTCTTGGGAAGGCGGCGGTGAAGGAAAGGGCGGAAGAGAAGAGGGTGTTGCGGCCACTTCGATCGACCAAGTATTTATTATTTTTAATATTATTTTAAATTTACATGTCATTAAGTTAACGGTACAGTCAGCAATTATGTTTTCCATGTCATCAAAAATTTGACGGCGTTAACGGAGACTGACGAAGACAGACGGCCGGTGACCAAATGTGAAATGATTCGTAAAGTTAGTGGGAAATAAGAAAGAAAAATGATTTGGGTGGCAAACGTGAAATATTTATATAATTTGAGTGACCAAACGTGTAATTTAGCCGAATACAAAGTATACAAATCACAACATAAAGTGTACAAACTAGACAAACAAACATTACAAATTACAATGTATACAAATTATTCATATAGACATTACTAACATAATAGATAAAAATGACAAACTAGAATGAGAAACGATACAAACCGAATTGATACAAAATCGCAAAACATACTTACAAACATTACAAAATCATCCGACAAACATAACAAAATAGAAGTTGTCGCCCGAAAATTCGCCGATAACGAATAATCATTTCTCTCCGGGCAGGCACACGAGCGGAAGGAGGAGTAGGCCCAAATTTTATTTTATTTTAATTAATAAATAAATAAAACCTGTAATTACAACATTTTCCTTTATTAAATGAGATTAATTAGAAACATTGAATTTTAATAAAATGAAAGAGCTAAGATTCACTTATCAATATAATAACTAAAGTCTCCATTAGTCACATAATTTTAGCCCCGGTTATTAGGGCTGCAAACAAGCTGAGTCGAGTCAAGTTTTTGCTTAGCTTGAGCTCGGCTCGTTTATAAATTTTTTAGCTCGAGCTCGGCTCGAACTCGAATTTTCATCATCCAGCTCGAGCTCGACTCGATTAAAAATAATCCAGCTTGAGCTCGGCTCGATAAAGCTCGGTAAATGCTCATTAACACAGCTTGTCAAGCTGAGTACAAGCTCGGCTCAAGATAAGCTCGATTTCAAACCATTCTTGCTGAAAAATGTGTACAAATAAGAACATTAGAAATTAAAAATGATCAAAAGAACACTAAAAACTAAAGGGCTAATACCACTGGAAATACCATTCTTCAGCAAAAGTGTCATGTATATTATGTAAGTTTTGATATGCCATTTGTGTAACCTCCGTTAGTTTTGCCGTTAGTTTCTTACTGAAATCCCAATCAGCGCCACGTCGGTGCTTAGGTGGACTTTAATTAATATAAAATTCAAACTTTTTAATTAGTTTTTAAGGGATAAAAGAAGATAAAAAAGGAAACATCTGACGGGTGAAACTTGATCTCCCCAAACGTCCCCATTCTTCTCCTCCTTCTTCCTCTACAGTGCACATCGCCGCCGCCCTTCTCTCCATTCAATCCCGATCCAAATCCGGTGTAGTCCACATCGACGACACTCAATCTCCTTCTTCTTGACCTCCACAAATCCCTCGCCCATACTCTCTCATCTTCTTCGAGCCATGTTTTCTGGATTTTTTGGGGCGGAGTCGCCGGTGCGTCAGAGGTTCAGGTCATCCATGAGACAAGCCCGACGCGTGGGCTCTTGAAGCCGCTGAGCACAAGACCGAGCTAGAGCAGTAGCAAGAGCAACAACCGATTTCCCACCTTCGTCGCCGTAGCGGCAATCGCCGATCTCAAGCAGTCTAGATCTGCCCTAACTGCGACCAACAACGCAAGAAACGAGATCTCGACGAGTCAGCCACGGCAGCGTAATCCATGATCGAGAAGTTAGTCGGCTCGAAGTGTCCGTTCTATTTCCCTCTCGATGCGCTGGTCGTTCTGTCGCGGGTCCCCGCTATGTAATCGAATCGATCGGAGCTAAACAACAACCAGACGTCAAGAAATCGGGGGGCGATACCGTATAGGAAGGGTTTCACATCAAGATGCCCTCGGTGAGGCATAAGCTAGATCCCGATTTGGAATTCGACCCCGATACACATATAGGGCTAGGTAATTCAGCAAAGTGGATGGCGGAGGTTCCGGCGAGGCCGTCGATTTCGATAATCATGGTGGCTCTTCTCGAGCTGGATTCATGGGAGTGGTGGATTTGGCAGGCAACATAGAGGGAATAATGGAAGAAGATTGCTGAAGAATGGGCGATGCAGAGCTTTTGGGGTGGGTTGCATTCTCGGCAATGGAAATTGGCGCAGGCGACGAGGGTGAGTGGGTCGTGGGTGAGGTTAAAGCAATATTTATTTCCAATAAAAATGTTAAGTATTTAATTATTAAAAATAAAAATAAATTTAAATAGTATTTTCCTACGTGGCGCATATGTGGATGACACATAAGCGCCACTTCATCAATGGTCAGACAAAAGTTGACCACCGTTAAGTCAACTGTTAACTTTAACGGTCAACAAAAATTCGCGTAACACAAATGACGCAAATCCCTAATACGTTGGAATATTTTTGTGTTTATTGAAAGTACGTAATATAAATGGCACTTTCGCTAAAGTATGGTATTTCCAGTGGTATTAGCCCAAAACTAAAAATAAAACATCTAACTTTCATACACATCTTTATTAACAAGATAATTTTCATGTTCAGAAAAGCAATTAATCCTTCCACAAGCTTTAAACAAGCCAGCTCGCGATCTTAGCTCAACAAGCCACCGAGTCAAGCTAGCTCACGAGCTTATCAAGTCGAGCATGGCGTAGCTCAAGCTTGGCTCGTTTACTAACGAGCCAGCTCGCGAGCCTGCTTGTTAAACAACGAGTCGAGTGTCGAACGAGTTTTTTCCAATTCGAACGCCGAGTTGCTCGCGAGCGGCTTGGCTCATTTGCAGCCCTACCGGTTATCGACTATCGTGCGTGGACCGTGGGTTTGATAGTAGTAGGAAAGTAAAAAAGAAATGACGACACTGTGCCCCCCAATACACAGGGCGCGCGATTCGGTATCCAAAAAATCGACACAATGTTCTCATCCTTGCACCATTTTATTATATTCTCCTTTCCCCTCCGAACTCCACTATACGATTCGCTTGCCGTCTCCGTCTCTTCCCCCAACAAGACAAGTCTCCTTCCTTATATAATATATTCAAACTCTCCCTCCTTCCCAATCCCCACCAACCCAAACACCTTCTCCTCTCCCTAAGCTTCTTCCCTTAACACGTCACCGCCACCAATGGGCTCGCTCTCCGCTCTCGACTGCACCGCCGGCGACGACGGAGGAGGCGTATTGCCGTATCCCCCCGCGCGCAGGGACGAGTCCGTCGTCGATGATTACCACGGCGTCCAGGTCTCCGATCCTTACCGATGGTAATGAGTGGATGCTTTCTCATATTGTCTCAATTGTTTCCCGGTTGCATTCTACCTGTTTGTGGAAAAGCGGCACAGAAGGAAAAAAAACTTGTTGTTTGTGTGTGTTTTGTTTTGGTAGGCTCGAGGATCCTGATTCGGAGGAGACGAAGGCGTTCGTGGAAAAGCAGGTGGAGGTGGCGGATTCTGTGCTGATGACGTGCGAGTTGAGGGAGAAGTTGAAGGGGAAGATTACGAAGCTGTTCGACCACCCGCGCTACGATGCGCCGTCCAGGCGTGGGGACAAGTACTTCTACTTCCACAACACCGGCCTTCAGCCCCAGAGCGTCCTCTACGTTCAGGTTAGCATTATAGCGAAACCTAAAAAGCCAGTTTGAATGTGTTAATTAAGTAGGCGCGAATAAAATTCTTTATGTTTGACTTGGACAAGAGATCGTGACTATATTATGTGTGTGACATTTTGCTGGCAAAGAAATGAGGGTTTGTATTTGGAAATATCCATTTCTTTGGCCTCATTTTCCATGTCTTTTTTTTTTCTTCTCCAAATGTCACATTTATAAATAACTCATTTAAATGGTTCACGGTGAATTAAATAAGGGTTTATATTCTATTTTGACATGGATTGCGAGGTCTAATATATACAAGTATATCCCGAAATACAATTTTTCAAATCAATGAATATATTTGTCTTGATTTCTACTACGTTAATGACTCAATGATTAATAGTTAGTGTACTTATGGTGTTTGTCACGTGCATTATGCAATATTAGTTATGTTAAAATTTACATTTTGTTCTTTTATTTTATCTTCCTTTTCTCCTCCCAAGACACCCATGTGCCCTGTTATAAGAAATGGACTGGATCGTACCATACTCGAACCATTAAATCGGTTATAATGGTTCGATCCGCTTGTTCTTAAGAATAGTTTTTATTGTTAGACATGAAATCAAATGAACAACTTCGGTTTGAGTAGTCTACTGACTCACCCTTTTAATCATAAATTGAAAAAAAGTACTATAACGTGAGAGTTGAGACAATTCACCATTGATTACCAAATTTATTTATAAATACTATTTTAAAATATATCTTTTAGCGACTGCCCTCTTAATTACTAATTTTAATTTGATAAATTTTTTGTTTTATTCTTTTGTGAGGCAATTTGAATATTTTATTCAAATTTATGGTGATGAATGACTTGGATTTATTTATGATTAGTGACAAAGTGAGTCATAAGTTAGTGTGTTATTAAGAAATAAATAGCGCCTATTCTGCATAAGGGGTCCAGTGGGCTGCGGGCGTATGTACCGTACGTCTCCTACATCCCACACGGATCTCCGTCGGTTCATTCACTTTCTCGATCTCGGCCGTTGATTTACGTACATATCGGGACTTTGTGTACCTTTTTGTGGGCTGCAGTAGGGTCCGTTGTCCTTCGTCCCCAAAACTCCGTATCTTCTCGCCTCTTTCCCAATCTCCATACGACGACCGGATGGCGATTAGGCAGGTCGACGCCGATTCATCCTCAACTTTTCGCCCAACCCTATTGGCGGCTAGGCATGTTGTCGTTAAAGCCTTTTTCCTCCTTCCCCTGACCCATCGATTCATCTCCTCTTCCTTCTATTTTATTGGGTGTGCAAGGTTCTAGAACCGTTTAACAAAACCTTTCGCTCTCAAATCATAAATTATTGACTTTACTGGTTTAACATCCAATATGATAAAATCCCACCAATCTCCAAGTCCATAAATAACGAAGTAAAGAGTTTAAAAATAACTAATTATTAACCGAATAGATAGGCTAAGCTTTTGTTTTGGAATGTTTTTTTTATAACAGGACGGTTTACAAGGAGAGGCAGAGGTGTTGCTTGATCCGAATGCGCTGAGCGACGACGGCACAGTATCGCTTGGCCCGTTTTCAGTGAGCGAGGATGGGAAGTACCTGGCTTACGGGCTTAGCTCAAGTGGCAGTGATTGGATAACCATCAAGGTCATGCGAGTTGAGGACAAGACAGTTGAGGAAGACACGATTTCATGGGTACGTACGTGAGAGATTAAACGCGCGGTTTATTGTATGCCTACCTATCTTGCTGTTGTCTGTTCTCAATTTTGCTCTGTGAGTTCTGAGCTTTCTTTCTTGTGTGTTCCTCAGGCAAAGTTTACAGGCATCAGTTGGACACACGACAGCAGAGGGTTCTTCTACAGCCGTTACCCTGCTCCCAAGTAACGTTCTGACCCTCACCTTTGTTTATTGTGCAGAAGTGGAGGTGGCAATTATTAATCTAATCCACTAATTTATTAAAAATATATCCAACTAATTCAATTCATTTGATCTAATTCTAATTAGATTGGTGGATTCATGGATCGTTGGCAAATTATGGTTTAGTATCTATAATTTTTATTTTTTTACATTTTGGTACCTAAATTATAATTTTTATTGAAAAAGTACATTTTGTTGCCTACAATTGTTTATCATAACATTTAGTATCTAAACTTTTCACATTTTACATATTGGTCCAAGGTTGAGGATGTCAGTTGGATTCATGGATAATCCACAAATCCACTTGATCCAATCCATGAATACACAAATCCATTTGATCAATGAATCCACCAATCCATGAATCCAATGCATTTGTCACCTCTGTGCTGAAGCGGAAAATGATTAAAATGAAAGGAAGTTGTCACTTCAGAGTAGGGTTAAGGCACTTATATTGTGAGCAATTTGTTGTTGTGCAGAGATGGAGAGAAGCTAGATGCTGGAACAGAGACCAACATCAACCTGTATCAAGAATCGTATTACCATTTCTTGGGAACGGATCAAGCAGAGGATATTCTGTGCTGGAGGGATCAAGAAAACCCCAAGCACCGATTCGACGCAACGGTCGCAGACGATGGAAAGGTACGTACGTAGATTGTCCTGCTGAACGCTCTTAAATTTGTTTTGAGTTCGAATTAGATCTGAGCTGTGAATTAATTCTAGTTACGATTGGTGTGATACTCTGCATGCAGCATCTTCTCCTCTACACCCACGAAGGTTGCGATCCGGTCAACAAAGTCTACTACTGTGACATCTCTGCACTCCCTGGACCTGGTGGACTACACAGTTTCAAGGAATCAAACAACGGTACGGATCTCCTCCCTTTCATCAAGCTCGTCGACGACTTCGATGCGAAGTACGCAGCCGTAGCAAACGACGGGACGACGTTCACTTTCCTGACGAACAAGGACGCTCCTCGATACAAGCTGGTCCGGGTCGACTTGACCGACCCGAGTTCATGGGCAGATGTCGTCCCGGAGTCAGACAAGGACGTGTTGGAGATAGCACGTGCCGTTGATGGCGAGAAATTGGTACTGAGTTACCTGAGTGACGTCAAGAGTGTGTTGCAGGTCAGGGAGCTTAAGACAGGGGAGTTTCTGCATCAGCTGCCTGTTGATATTGGTACGGTGACTCGGGTTTGTGCAAGGAGACAGGACGGTGTGGCGTTTATAGGGTTTACGAGCTTTCTTTCCCCTGGGATCATCTACCAGTGTGATTTGGGTTCCGGGGTTCCGGAAATGAAGGTGTTTCGGGAGATCCAAGTGCCTGGATTCGATCGCTCAGAGTTCCAAGTGAAACAAGTTAGTATTTTTGTTCGTTACGGATAAGGTTTGGCGACACATAAAAACTACAACGCCTAATTCAAACATTTTTTCGTTTATTTACGTAAATTTGGGCTTATTCAAATCATATTGGTGTTGATTCACGTAATTGTAGTAATTATTCACACAAATAATAATGATTATTCATGCAAATAAAGTATTTATTCACGTCGTAGTAAAAACAATTTTTTAAATCTTGAAATATTTCAGTATGGTTGCCATTATATAGATTATGATCAATGAAACTCACTTTTATGGAAAATTGAAAATCCAAATTTAATTTCGTACAATATAGCCACATTACAAATTATTAAGGGGAAAAACGAGAATCAGTTTGTGATTCCATTTAGGTGAATAATTTACGTCAATAATTATCAAATGAATACGAATAAATGGAAAGAAAAAAAGAGTGAATAAGGTGGTCTGGGTCTTTTGGTTGTTACTTATGCAAAGCGGTGACATATAGTATGTTTCACCCTCATTGGTTTGCATTCTACGTTAATTTAGGCGGGATGAATTGTTCAGTTTACCAGTTACATGAATATATATAATTTTTAACAATTACATTAGTATTTATATATAGATCTAATTTGTAAATACTATATATATATATATATATATATATATCCATATCCATATCCGTATCCGTATCCGTACATATGTTATCCGCTTAAAACTTCAGTATTCATATTATACAAGTCGTTTTATTTTTCGTCTTGAAATAGAAAACCTCATTGTTTTGCTTTGATCAGGTTTTCGTTACAAGCAAGGACGGCACCAAGTTCCCAATCTTCATCGGGTCGAAGAAGGGCATCAAACTGGACGGGTCGAACCCGTGCTTGCTGTACGGCTACGGCGGGTTCACCGTCAGCATCACGCCGGCTTTCAGCGTGAGCCGGGTAGCTTTGGCCAAGCATTTAGGCGCCGTGTTCTGCATCGCCAACATCCGCGGCGGCGGAGAGTACGGCGAGGAGTGGCACAAGGCAGGGTCGCTGGCCAAGAAGCAGAACGTCTTTGATGACTTCATCTCTGCCGGTGAGTATCTTGTGTCACAAGGCTATACCCGGCCGGGGAAGCTCTGCATTGAAGGCGGCAGCAACGGCGGCCTCCTCGTCGGAGCCTGCGTAAATCAGAGGCCGGATTTGTTTGGCTGCGCTCTGGCGCATGTTGGTGTCATGGACATGCTGCGGTTCCACAGGTTCACAATAGGTAATAGGAGATTTTGTGATGAAAGATCAGAGTCAGCACGACCACTAATTATATATGTTCAATTACTAAGACACTCTTTTTTTTCTTTTCTTCCACAGGTCATGCTTGGACTACTGACTTTGGCTGTTCAGACAAGGAAGAAGAGTTCCATTGGCTGATCAAGTAAGATGGAGTACTCATTCTTTGTTTTTCTTTATTATGTCTGATATGATTCTAATCAAACTATGGTCGTTAATGATACAAACTTAGTCGAGCTTTGTTATGGGTTGGATTCGACTCGTTAAAATAATTTCAAGGTTGAGTTCGACTAGTGTTCGATACGTGTTTTAGTAGGCAAGCTCTAGTTCAACTCGTTTGCCAAAATAGAAGCTCGAGCTCGATTTGAACTGGCTCGCCAAATAAAGTTTACAAGCAAAAATCAATTTCACCTGATAAAATGTCAGATTGTAGCTCAACCTCAACTCTGCTCATAAGAGCAAAACACAAAAGGCTTTCGAAATTTTATGTAAGTCTATCGAACTGCACATGCATGGTTTGAACTTTGAACTCGGCTCGTAAACTTGTTCTCGAGCCGACTCAGTTATAGATGAATGGAGTGCGGATTGCGGAACACTTTTTTTTTTTTGGTGTCTGCATGGCTGCAGGTCGGCGGAGATCCAACCACACAGCCTTGCGGAACACATTTTTCTCGAATCGAATGCCGAATCCTTCAGGATCGACTTGGTTCATTAACAACACTAAACCAAACACACTAACAAAATGATATTTTGTGCTTGTAGACTTACATTCAACTTTCGAGGAATTTTACAATACTATATAGTATTGGTGCTATAGGTTTTTTACCTTTATGGTACAACTTGAAATTGTACATTCAATGTTATGGTACAATTTTAGATTATACCTACACTGTTTTGTCAATATTCTTTATAGTACAACTTGAACTTGTACCTTTATGTGAAGATATAACTTCAACTTGTAAAGTTGTACTATAATATAAGGGTACAAATTCCTTTATGGTACAACTTGAACTTATACATTTAATGTTATGGTACAACTTCAAGTTGTACATTAAAACACCAATACTTTATTGCATAGTAAAAGTACTCTCAACTTCCATGGTTGTGTTTCTCTGTAAATTTTTTGCAGGTATTCTCCACTCCACAATGTGAGGAGACCATGGGAAGCATGCCCCGATGTTCAGTACCCTGCGACCATGTTGCTGACGGCCGATCACGACGATCGGGTCGTTCCATTGCACTCTCTCAAGCTGTTGGCGGTGAGTTGATGATCTCCCTCATACAAGAGAGAGTCCTTTTATTCTCGACCTAAGTTTTGAGTTTGATCAACGGTTTCTGGTACTCTTCCTTCTGGGCAGACGTTGCAGTATGTTCTGTGCACCAGCTTGGAGAACAGTCTACAAACCAACCCCATCATCGGCCGGATCGACAGGAAGTCCGGCCATGGCGCCGGCCGGCCGACTCAGAAAATGGTATGACGACGAGTTTGATTCTGATTTTCTTATTGTTGATCGATCAACGATATTGCTCGAGTCATTTTTGTGGTTCTTCTTATTGCTGCTGGCAGATTGATGAAGCGGCGGATCGGTATGGTTTCATGGCAAAGATGGTGAATGCCACGTGGACCGAGTAGGAGGACAAACAAAAGAGCTTCCCCTAAGTAGTTGTTGATCCCGTTAATGTCGACCTTGTGGTTTACTGGTTTATACCATCGGAACGGTAGCTCTTGTAATTTACCCGGCCTGTTCATGCAACAACAACATACTGTTGAAATTAAAGTTTAATTAAGATAAAAATGAGAAAGGTCTAGAGAAGTAGGTAACGTGTGTGGTGTGGTGTAATGGTGTACAATCAATGTGTGGAATGATGTAGAATCAATTAGGTGGTGTGATTAAAAAAAGGGGGAAAAAAGGAACCACATATGGGAAGTAGGTTCCAACTATCCAAGCTAATGAGCTGCATATTTTTTGTTGTATGGAGCCTATAAATAGGCTTGTGCAAAGCTGTGTAAAGGGTAGAGCAAAAGAAAGAAGAAGCCACTAAATAAAAGAGAAAGCTCTCTTTTCAAACTCTCTATGTCGCCTCCTCACTTCCCAAAAGCCCTTTCCCAATTCCATTCTCAAATTAGAAAATCCCAAACAATTCAAAGCTTCCTATTTCTATCCCAAACATAAAAGTTGTTATAAACGCGCTGCTACAGATCGGGAAATCGCAGGAATCGACAAAGCAAGAATACGAAAGCGAGAATCGAAAATACAGACACACGATTTACGTGGTTCACTAACACAATGTGTGTTAGCTACGTCCACGGGCGAGAGAGAGCCAGTTTCACTATATCGAGGAGATTACAGGTTACAGAGGAGTATGAGAAGTATTTATAGTACTTCTCCATGTGGGTCTAAACCTAATCCAATCTGCCAAAGGAAACGGATACAGACCAGGCCCAGAACCCGAACCCAAATAACATTGAACCCAAAGGAAACGGTTATACACCAGCGAGACCCCCGATTACCAGTCGTAGCGGCTGATAGTCCGATTCAAGTCACATCAACAAATCTCCACCTTGACTTGAATCCTCTTCCTCTGAAATCTCTGATGTACTCTGCTCCTTCTCTCTCTCCCGCCATCAATGCCCCGTAGGGCGGAGTCACCCACTCAAGACATTCAGCAAGTCCAAGCAGTGTTGGAACTTGCCATTATAGGTGTCAATCGGCCGGGTTCGGGCTGGGTTCAATCGGGTTCGGGTTAAAAAGGCTTGCGGGTTAGTCAGGTTGCGGGTTTATCGGGTTCGGGTTCATCGGGTTCGGGTTCAAACGGGTTGCGGGTTAGTCGGGTTGCGGGTTCATCAGGTTCGGGTTCAATCGGGTTGCGGGCAAATCGGGTTTTTGCATCGGGCGGGTTGCGGGCGGATCGAGTTTCGGGTTGTTCGGGCCAGCGCATCAAGTAACTTAACTCATTACTCATTACCAACTTACACATTTTATTACACTAATTTAAAATATCTCCTCAACTTTTTAACCAATTTATTTCTACCTCTTATATATATACTTTATTTTTTTGAAAAAAACTAGTTAAAATGTTAAATCAATTTGTATGACTTGCAAACTTGTTATGTAATTAATCATAATTGGTAAAGTATTATAGCTAATAGTAATGGTGATATCAATATTTGCAACCAAAAGACACCATTAATTGTTTATTTGATATTTTAGTATTAATTCAGTAGTAATTGGATTAAAGTATCTCGTTTAGTATAACCATGCAAATCTGGTATTTGGTGTGTGGTATTTGGCAAAAGCATAGTGATAAAACGAGTTATTTCGAAATAACTCATTGCCCAAATAACTTCAGTAAACTGTTGCCAAACAAGTTATTTGTAAAATTGTTCGAATTATCCTAAAAATTGAACCATTAAAGATTAGCTATCAAATTTAGTAAAATTATTGTGACTTCAATCATAACTTACTCAATAGCATATATCCTATACACTTAGCCTTACCCTCAATCATAGGGGTGGGCAACGGGACGGGACGGGATACCCGTCCCATTTTAAACGGGTACCTAGTCCCATTTGGAGACCAAAGTCCATCCCATATCCCAAACCCATATGGGAAACGGGTACCCGTTACCCGTACGGGACGGATAACGGGTACCCATACTACCCATAAATACCCAAAGTTTAAATGACATTTTACCTAAAGACAATTAATCAATTACATCCAAAGCATTCATTTCAAAACACAATCATTCATTTTCCTCACTGACTTTTTAGCTAAAGACAATTTAGCTAAAGACAATTATATCCAAAAAACAAACCCATTACCCACTGCCATTTTCCCACTGCCACAGTCAACACAGCCAAGAAGGAAGCAGAGTCAAGCTAGAAACACTGCTAATGGACTCCTCCAGCGAGGGACAAGACACAAGACAGACTTGACTCTTGAGAATTGAGATTCCAAATTCCAGAGAAGGAGAAGCTGCGCGTCTCTCAGTGGGTAAGGGCCGGCGAAAATGGATTTTAAATTGGGTTGGGCCTGGGCGCATGGGCTGAATTAAATATTTCTTTGTAATTTGAATGGGTACAACGGGTACCCATATTACCCAAACGGGTAATTGCGGGTAACCCGCGGGTACCCGTATTAGGATTGTACAATCCCAAGTCCCATCCATTTAAAATATTACGGATAATATGGATACCCGTAACCCTTAAAAAATGGGCGGGTACGGGTATACCCAAATACCCGTTTCCCGTTGCCCACCCCTACTCAATCAACAATATTAAGTTAGTATATGTTGTTGATTGTATACCCTAAACCATCAATACATTATACACTAACCACATAGCCTATACCCTATAGCCTAACCATATGTCTTTGAGTTGTGATTTTGCTAGTATAGTTAATTTAAAAATGAAATTCATACTTTGATTTTCAAAACATAGATAAAAAGTGATATTTGCTAATTGTTATACCCTAACCATATACTCTATACTTTACACCACATACCTTGTACCCTAACCACATACCTTATACCCTAACCATATACACCCTAAACCATATGTACCTTATACCCTATACCCTAACCATATACTTTATATCCTAAACAACGAGCCGTCAAAGATTACTTATCGAGTTTCGTATAAATTGTTGTAACTAATGGTTAAGTTATTTATTAGCCCATAAACAATTACATACATATATATATATATATATATATATATTAGCCTTCAAAGCATATAAGAATAATTTTAACTAGTCATGCCCTCCATATAAAAGTTAAAGATTCATATTTCAAAAGCTAAAAGTATGAAAACACCAAAAAATTGAAAACACCAAATTTGTTGCCTTCTTTCTTTTCACAAAAATACTAAAATTTCTCTCCTTCTTTCTACTTCCAAAAACTCAATTTTCCCTCCTCTTTCTCTTCCATAAAATTGAAAAAACCAAATTGCCCTCTTCTTTCCTTCTACAAAAAGTTGAAAACTTAAAAGTTTTCCTCCTTATTTCTCTTTCATAATCAAAAGAATCAAACTTTCCCACTTCTTTCTCTTCCCACATATCAAAACCACCAAAATTCCCACTTGTTTCTTTTCTAAAAAATTCAAAGAACCAAATTTCCCTCTTCTATCTCTTCCCAAAAAGTTGAATACACCAAAATTTCCCTCTTCATTTAAAAACATCAAATTACCAAATACATTACTTTACTTTATTTATATTTAATTGATAATTTTATTGAATAGTTAAATTAACCAAAATTTTAATTTATATATTATATTAATATTGTCATGATCTCAAGTGACCTTCATGTTTCAATTTTTGTAATTTTCTTAAAATACGTAATATCAATTGAGTTTCATATTTTTTAAATTTCCTATACGAAATGAAAAAATTATTTTACTTAAGTTTAGAATGAAAAACTTGATTTTGAAAAACTATGTATTGTATATTTTTATAATTATTCAAGTGGATTAGATGAATTTCGGGTTGAGTCGGTCGGGTTACGGGTTAGTCAGGTTCGGGTCAATCGGGTTCGGGTTAATCGGGTTGTGGGTCAGTCGGGTTGCGGGTCAATCGGGTTCGGGTTAATCGGGTTGCGGGTCAATCGGGTTGCGGGTCAGTTGGGTTGCGGGTCAATCAGGTTGCGGGTCGGGCGGGTTACGGGTTGTTGACTTTTAGTCAATTCGGATTGCGATCGGGTTACGGGTCGGGTTGATCGGGCGGGTTAATCGGGTCGGGCTATGTTTTGACACCTATACTTGCCATGTGGAACCGGCTTCGTGAACATATCAGCAGGATTATCCGCGGTGCCAACCTTCTTCACCTTAATCCTCTTCTCTGTCCTCAAGAAATGATACCTCACGTCGATGTGCTTAGTCCTCTCATGATGGACTTGATCCTTGGCCAAGCATATTGCACTCAAACTGTCGCAATACACCACTGCCTGATCATGATGTAGACCCAGATCACCAACCAGTCCCTTCAACCATATTCCCTCCTTAGCAGCTTCTGTCAACGCCATATACTCTGCCTCAGTAGTAGACAATGTCACCGCCGACTGCAGAGTTGCCTTCCAGCTCACTACAGAACTCCCAAGAGTGAATACATAACCAGTCATCGATCTCCTCGTGTCAACATCTCCAGCATAGTTCGAGTCAGAATACCCAAACACCAAGCACTTTGTATCACTTCCGAAGCTAATCCCCACATCAGGTGTACCCTTAAGGTACCGGAAGATCCTCTTCACAGCCTGCCAATGCTCCTTCCCAGGTTGTATCATGAACCTGCTGACAACACTAACAACATGTGCAAGATCAGGTCTAGTGCATACCATAGCGTACATCAAGCTACCTACTGCACTAGCATATGGGACTCTCGACATGTACTCCTTCTCAGCCTTTGACTGCGGTGCATAAGCTGAGGATAGATGAACATTTGAAGCACTAGGAGTATTTAAGGGCTTTGCTGAAGACATGCCAAACCTCGACAATATCTTCTGGATGTAGCTCTTCTGTGACAAGAAAAGCTTCTTCTTCGACCTGTCCCTGTAAATCTCCATACCCAAAATCTTCTGAGCAGCTCCCAAATCCTTCATCTCAAACTCAGCACTGAGAAGCCCCTTTAACTTCTGGATATCAGACTTCGACCTCGCAGCTATGAGCATATCATCCACATACAGAACTAGATATATCATCGAACCATCCTCTGCCTTGTTGTGATACACACAACAATCATATGGACTTCTGTTGTAGCCCAGCTCAAGCATGTAACTGTCAAATCTCTTGTACCACTGCCTCGGAGATTGCTTAAGTCCATACAAGGACTTCTTCAGCTTACAAACATAGTCTTCTTTTCCCGGAACCTCGAATCCTTCTAGCTGAGTCATGTAAATTTCTTCTTCCAACTCTCCATGTAGGAAGGCTATCCTCACGTCTAGCTGCTCGAGCTCCAAGTCATAATGTGCCACTATTGCTAGTAGCACTCTGATCGAAGTATGTCTGACCACTGGTGAGAAAATCTCATTGTAGTCAACTCCTTCCCTCTGTGAGAAGCCTCGTGCAACCACCCGAGCTTTAAATTTCATGCCCTCTTTAGAAGTGATTCCTTCCTTCTTCTTGTAGATCCACTTGTTTGTAACAATCTTCCTTCCCTG